GCCCCTCCGCACGGAGACGCTCGTCCCGGGTCGCGCCGCGTGTCTCTCCGCCTCGAATGTCACGTTTAAACCGGCTGCCGTGGATGACGGAGACCGGGACGACGGCAACGACGGGACCGCCGAATTTCCGCTCACTACGCGGGCCACCAGCCCGGAAACGGGCCGTAATTTTGCTCCGGCCGTACTTGAACGGGTTAAGTCGTTGCCGAGGGAAACGGAGGCGTCGCGACGCCTCTCTCCATCTCCCGCTTTCGCCTCGGGCTGAAGGAACGACGTTACTCTCGCGCTTCTTGGAGGACAATTGAGTCGACCCGACAGCGAAACTGTCGAAGCGACGCTAATGACGAGCGCAAAAGGAATACGCCGTGATCGCGCGAGCGACTGCGTCTCCGATGTGCCCGCCGCGTTAATTCCGCAGGAGCAGAACTGCGGCATTCGGCTTTGAACTTTCGACGGCAAGCGGAATTTTTATACGCTATTTATCGGCGCACTGCCAGTCGAACAGTTTTGACGAGGGGAGGTCGCGCGGGAAATATAACGAGAGAGGGGACAAAAGCCTAACCCTTAATCTGAATTCAAGAGACGTGGACCTTCAGCATCGAAGTCGATTTAGCCGAGATGATTCGTAGATGCACGACGACGCGTCGGTCGATACGACATCGCTGATACGGATCGCGCGAAAGTGGCGTTTCATCATTTTAATCTGCGAGCTCGCTCTCTCTCTCTCTCTCTCTCTCTCTCTCTCTCTCTCTCTCTCTCTCTCTCTCTCTCTCTCTCTCTCTCTCTCTCTCTCTCTCGCTCTCTCTCTCTCTGTCTCTCTCTCTCTCTCTCTCTCGCTCTCTCTCGCTCTCTCTCTCTCTCTCTCCCTTTGGCGGCGCGCGATAAGGATCACATGGCAAAATTCGTTTGTGCCAGGAGACATCTCGGAGGATAGACACGTCGCCGTGGTCGTAACACGAGGCGAAGGTGCAAAGGCGCCTTGCAACGAAGTTCAGGAGCACGTCGGGATCGAAGATTGTTTGCAGAAATTGATGAGATATCCGCCGCGATCGAGTGGTTCGTGAAAGATGAGCCGGTGGCATCGTGCGCGCGCGAGCTCGCGATCGATCGAGCTATCTTCTCGCGAGATCTATCAGCGGCGGATCGGGCGCCGAGCGAAATAGCAGCGGTGGATTCGCTCGCAAGGCTGGCTGGCGGCGTAATCGTGCGCTCGCGCGCGAATTAAAGCAATTTTACCCGACACCGCGGCCTTTCTCCGGCTGGGCGCCCGGTTTTAAGTTAAACTCGTTCGCGGAGGCTGCGCATCGGTTCTCTGCCAGCGCGGGGCGATTACCGTCGAATAACGTTGCCGGTGGATTATGCGTTTTACGCGTTTCGAGAGGCCGGCGGAAAATAATCGAATCCGGGCGAAGTGTCGGCCCGCGAGCGATGGCAGCCACGTCGATGATTACGCGCGTTCATCTCTTTAGTACTTTAAGCCCGCCAGAGTTAACGTTTGACGCTCACTACGTTCTAAGCCCGTCGGGGTTAGCGTTTAATCCCCGACACTTTAAATCCGCCATAATGACCGGTACATTATCATCGTTGCCGTTGTACAGGGAAATCATCGCCCGCGTCGCTGATTCCAGACGAAACGTCGGCGCGGCACTTGATGACGCGCGATCTGCATTTTCACGCAAGAGATTTCCCGAACAAACAACGGGCGAGAGCGAGTGCGATCCATTAGAACGATTAAATAACTGATACACATCTCACGCTCGCGCGTCTCGTCACCAAACGGAATCGATCGTAGTAGCTTTTTTGTTTGTCCTCTTTTTTCTTTTTGTTTTCTTTTTTCGCCGCGACGATCGTGTCTCGATGCGGACACGATCGTCCGGCGCTCTCGTTCGCGAATCTCCACACCCGTCCTCGCGTGTCGAAAAGTTTTTTTCGCAATTCGGCGCTTTTTTCCCGGCACAACAACGGAACGGACGAACGAGCGAGCGAACGACGGGCGGACAGGCGGACGAACGAACTCGTATCTGTCCGCGAAAAACGCGCCCGATGAAAGGACGGCGGTGAAACGGTCGCGGAGTTAATTGTGCGCCGACGCGCGGAGCGCGTCCTTTGATTACCGCTGCGACGCGCCTCGTGTGCGTTTCTTTCTCACGTAATTACGCGGCCCGTGTCGCCCGGATGATCAACCTTTATGAAGACACCCGTTGCTATCCTTCGCGGAAACCCCCTTGCCTTTGTCGTCCTTTCTGTTCGCCGGCCGCCCGCTCACTCTTTCGCGAGCGCGCGCGCATCCCACTCGTCGGAAATACGTTCTTTCCTTCCAAGTGACAAAAGACGGTAACTTGAGAGAGTAGCGCTATATAGCGATATATATATATGTGTATATATATATATTCTGAGCTCGCGTAATATTCGGCACAGAGGTTGATGAAAGATTTCAAATGCTTCTCCCCGAGGAATTCTGTAATTCTCCGTAAGAATTTCTATATAAAGGCAGCGTGCGCCGCGCGTCTCTATAAAGAGTCCCGTAAATTCCCGCAAACAGCCCCGGTCGACCGTGCGCTCAGAGTTGCGAAATTAGGAATGAATGGCGCGCGAGTCGGCAAAATGCCCATTTCTGGCTTTTTAATAGCGCCGATAGACTTGAGTTAGAAGACTTCTCTCTGCGTCACTTGGGGGACGCGATGCAGACGCGAATCACTTTAAGGAAGAGAAGGTAGCGCCGAGGTAGGGCCGAGTAACGTCCGCTATTATTGAGGCCGGATGAGGCTGAGGGGGAGGATGGGGGTGAGGTTGAGGGGGTGAGACACGAAGAGGAGTCGCAGATGTGTACGTGGCTTCTTGCTCCCGGCGCTCCCGAATGCCTCTCACGTACGACGCACGTGTGGCTACGTGTGGCTACGTGTGGCTCCGCTTGCAAATCAAAAGCGGAGAAACTATTTGGATGCGAGCGGACGTTTTTCGCGCCGAATAAAACGACTGACGATATGTCATCGAATGATTCCGGGCAACGTGGCGGGAATCGCAATGTGTCACTCGATACGCGGAATATTTGATGAATTATTATTATCCGATTCGGAATTTTATGGAAAAAAAAAAAAAAAAAACACGCATCTCTTACCCCGTCGAAATTCCTCGGTAAACCATAACTCGTCAATATACTCGCTGTATCGCTCCCGCACTTTAAATGCGCAACCTTTTTAAGTTCCGCGGAATATCGAGTATTGGATTCACTTACAGTTATTAAATTTTCAAAGCTCTTATCCAGACATGCCCCGCGGCAACATCGAATATGTACTTACGACTAAGCTTAGAATTCTCGGCTCTTCCGGAAGGCTGATGGAAGAGGAAGCAACTTCGCTCTTCTCGCGGCAATTCTCGAACTTATACGGCAGGAGTTTTGCGCGCCGCGGACGGAAACGTAGATAGAGAAAGTAAGCCCACGTGTGCAGGTAGCGTGCCAGGCTACGCTGGCGAACCGTGTGAAGGAAAGAGAGAAGAGAGCGTGCGCATGCAGCGAGATCTCAATTCACGGAGAAGCACCGCGGATAACCATATATTTCCTTTTGCATTGATAATTTAAAGATATTTAAATTTATTGTATGTGTGTGTGTAAATCCATCACACCGAAGGGGAAAGAAGAATAATGAAACGATTCACATATCGGACGAAACGAAAACTACGCAAACGCGACGGAATGATATTCCTTCCATTTATCCCCCGCGACGGATCAACGTGAAACGCAATAATATAGCGCAAGTAATCATCAATCGTGTATTTGATTACACTCGAAAGCTTCGGACCATTAGTGTGAACAATCGCCGTGAAAAAATCGAGGACTTTGTTCGGAAGTGAAGCGCAGCGCGCGCCGTAATTCATGACGAGTCGAGAGAAGGAGCCCGCCGTTAAGACCACCGGGCTAAAACACAAAAGCGAAGTTATAATATATTATAATGCAACAGTCGGCCTTCGCGACGTATCTCGCGTCCCCGGACGATCCCCGGTATCGCCTGGAAGGGATGCAAATTGTGCACCGAGCGTGCAACGTTCTCGATCTGTAGTTAGCAATTCTCCCATCTCTATTCCCTCTTACGCGCTTACGAAGTTGCGGAGTTTCTACAAGGCTGCGGAGCAGGTGGAAGAGGAACGGCTCTCCGGCCCTCGAGAGGGCTTAACCGGCGGGCAGAGAGCGGGAACTTTCGCGTACTACATAGTCATATTAGTATTACGCGTGCTACGCTATCGTTCGACTGGAATTTCGCCTCCTCTCCGCGAGGGCTGGCTGATGAGGAGCGCAGTGGATGGAGGATGCGCGCGGTGAAGGAGAAGATCTCGCGCGGATCTCGTCTGAAAAAGAAAAAAGAAAGAAAAAACCCCGCGGCCGGCTTTCCCGAGCCGGCAAGGCACCGTCGAACCGGATGTCGCGTCGTAAGGAAAGGGGGTCTCTATCACAAAGAGGAGATTCGCCCTTTGTTCAATTATTCCCGGCCTTACGCGGCGTCGTTACGCCACGGCCGCGGCTAATAAGGTCGTTACGGATATTTCGTAAACATTTTGTCCCGCAGAAATTCAGAACTGACTGCAGAGATTGTGCCGAGCACAATCAATTCTATGCGATGTCTGCCTCGCAATATTTTGAATCAAGCTGCAGAAACGCGCGCGCTTCGACACGAATGTGGGCAGGGCATTGTCTTCGTCGAAACGTCTTCATCGCGCACATTATCTCCTTTTCATAAGGAAAAGTAATTTCGCCGACGCCGTTCTGCCAAATTAATCGAATGATGAAGTATTCACTTTTTACTCGTGTTTATAATCCGCCCAGAGCGGAACTCCCAGTTACTTTAAATTACGATATTACATGCAATTTGCAGAGTCACGATTAATGACGCCTATAAATAACGCCCCTGCGTATTGATTAAATAAATGAACTTGATCGCCGCACGTTGCTCATGAACGGACCACTTACTGTTCACAGCAACAACAGCAGCAGGCGCAACAACAGGCGCAGCAGCAGCAGCAGCAGCAACAGCAGCAGCAGCAACAGCAGCAGCAGCAGCAACAGCAGCAGCAGCCACAACAACAGGTCGGCTCGCCGGGAAACGGAAATGTGGGCAAAGGTAGTCCGTCTCCCGGAAACTCGTCGTCTCCCGGCACCGTCGCGACCTCCAACAAGCTCCAGCCGGAGCAGAAGCCGGTGGAGTGCAATCTGTGCCATCGAAAATTTAAAAACATACCGGCTCTTAATGGCCATATGAGACTCCACGGTGGTTACTTCAAAAAGGTAAATTTCATATTTGATAAGGGTAACGCTCGGGGGAGCGCTCGTTTACGTATTTATGCGGATTTGCGAGAGCTGGAGGGGTCGAGCCCGATAAGAAGGGCTTCTGCCCCCTGCTTGAAATATTCTAATAATGTTTTATCTCGTAATTTACGTTAGCGCAAGCGCGCATGCGCGCTTGTTTCGCACTCGTGTATTTTAAACATAGCAATTAACATCGGTGCGATCGAGATTTAAATATGTATGCGACGCTAAATCTCCAGATCCACGCGCGCACGCGCGCGCATCTCGCGGATTACAATCGCTAATATTCTGCTGTATCCTGTCGAGTCGAAGTAATCGGTGTCAAGGTTTAAACGTATTCGGAATCGGGTGTATTCTTATTCGCCGATGGCTAATATTTCACGCGCATTCGACGCGATTATCATCAAAGCAAGCCAAATGTTATCCGGCCCGCTGCCGGGAGACTCGACTTGGTGTTACTTGCGGACGCAAGTGTTATGTGCGGAAAGAAGCCGCCGAATATCGATTTTTAATCGCGAGTTCACCCTATCTTGTAGTTTTACCCGCGAACTGCAGATTCATATGTTGCGGCTGCGCCTTTCGGAGGTTGCGCAGCTATATCTTTAGCATAAAGGAACTCATCTCGCGGGGCGGCTTATCTCATTTGCATTCGCGCGAACGAGCGCGTCGTCCAAACTTCATTTTCGGCGGAAACTTTAATATTCGCGAGAAAATCTCCGCGCCGAAGTTATAGCGCGCCACCGTTTGCATCACCATATGAATTCGCAATCGCGCGAATTCGCGGCCGCGCCCGCGGTGCATCCGAATAATCAACCGGCGTTTCTATGAAAATCTCATCAGGCCTCTGTCGCCGCCGTCGTCGTCGTCGTCGTCGTCGTCGTCGGTCGTCCGTTGTCGTTCGTCGTCCGTCGTCGTCGTCGTCCGTCGTCGTCCGTCGTCGTCGTCGGTCGTCGTCGTCGTCGTCTCGGGGCATTCGAGAGGAGCGCGATACTCTGGAGGAGATGCATCCTCAGAGTGATAATCGCCGCGGCGAAGGCGCGAAAGAGGACAAAAAGTGATATAAGAGAGCGGAGATCGCCCACGGAGATCCGCGCTACTTCAGCTCACTTTGTTGCCGTACCTTCCCTCCTCCGCCCTTACTCTCTTCCTTCTCTTCCCTTTCATCGTGCTCGAATGGTGGAGAATACGAACAGCAGTGTTCTTAATAAGGTCAGGGGGTAAGGGATTGTTGCAGCCGTTGAAATAGAAAGATCAGCGATTCCACGGTCACCCTCTCTCTCTCCCTCTCTCTCTCTCTCTCTCTCTCTTCCTCTTTCTCTATCTTTTTCTCTCACTACCCTTGTGCCCCTCACTCCTCCCGCCTCACTCCCCGTCGACCTCGGTGCTCTCCTGCCGCTGATTAAAAATGTCTTAACGAAGACTGCGTCGTTTAGAAAAGTGCTGAAAAACTCGTCGGACAAAAGTTTCCCCTTTTTCACTCGATCCCGGTGGGAGGGGGCGGCGAATGGCGGAGACCGGGGATGTTCTTTATTCTGCAATTGAAAGACGATGACGTAACCGGCGCTGGAACGGGTGGGAATAAACCAGTCTGGTGGCGGGTATTAAAAGGCAAGACGGAGGGCAGGAGGAATTATAATCGACATATTGAATCGCCGCGCATAAATCGGGATTTTTTCCCCGATTCACGGAGTTTCATCGCGGTGATCGTGAAAATATAATACAAGGCTCGCGAGAGTTGCCGGGGAAGAATGGTGTCGCGAACGTGCAGTTCAATATGAGGGATAAAGTCCGTTACCTGTTCGTAACGCGCAAACGGCCATTCTTAGGATAATGTGCGATGCGGAACACGTCCGTCGGCGTGCTCGATCATTCGATCGTCTGCCTTTGATTCGTCACGCACACATAATCGCCCGTCCCAAGTGGAAGTTGAGACTACTTCCCTCGCGTCGCGGCCGGAGATTTCTTCGCGATTCCGTCAAATACGTCGAATTAATTTTCCAATCAGCGTTTTTAACGGTCGCATATAACGATTCGCCGCCCTCTCGCCTGCTCCCAATGTGACTCGTCCCGTTTCTCCTTACTCCATTCATCGTTTCGTAAGCGGGTGGGTGGAAAGACCGGTTGGTAACGACTCGATAGAGTAAAGATTGAAACGAGGCGGGCGAGAGCGAGTAAATCAGCGAAGGCGAGATAAAGCGCGGACGAGGGAGGGAGACGTAGATAGCACGGTGGATGGGAAAGGTAAGGCGATGATCGAATCCAAATGAACCCATTAACAAGCTCTTTGGTTCCACTCGATCCCCGAACCAATCCGCAGCGAGTTCGCGACGAGGTTGGGGAGAAAGGAAAAATAAGCGAGAGGAGAAGTGAGCAGGCGAGAGAGAAAGGAGGAAAGAGAAAGAGAGACAGAGATGATTCAACGACCAGATGGAAAGAAAGCAGAGCGAGAGAGAGAGAGAGAGAGAGAGAGAGAGAGAGAGAGAGAGAGAGAAAGAGAAAGAGAAAGACGGAAGAGAAACCTAGCACGCGCGGAGAGGCCCGTGCAAACATTGTCTCGAGCTTTCTCCATTATGCAGATTGAATCTGACTGGTTACGGTCGGGGTTTTCAACGGCGCTGCTCTCGTTTCGAGCACCCGAGTTTTCACCGCGATACCTATGCCTTCTGCCGTCCACCCCATACTCTCTCTCCTTTTCCCTCTCTCTTTCCCCTCCCTCTCTCTCTCTCTCTCTCTCTCTCTCTCTCTCTCTCTCTGTCTCCCTCACGCTTCTATCCGCTCTCCTCGTGTTCTCTCTCGTTCATGTTCGACCAGCGAGACCAACGGGCGCCACGCTACCGCGAAACTCCCCTTCCAGCATCCCCTCTTTCGGTGGTTCTAGCGGCCGAGCTTTTTGCCCGGCGCACACCGGCCGCCACGGAATTATTGAAAAGTTTCGATAGCCCTTCGGATTCGGGGATATACATTTACATTGTGTGTGTGTGTGTGTGTGTGTGTGTGTGTGTATGTATATATATATGTGTGTGTATGTGTGTGTGTGTGTGTGTGTGTAGCCGGATTAATGCATGTCGTATGCGGCGAACGCGAACGCGAAAGACAGGGCCGAAAACACGAAAACTCATGGGGCTTGTAGGCAGGAGCCTCGTCCACCGTGAAACCGCGCTCGTTGTTGTTTAGGGCGCGCGTCGCGGCGAGAGGAGTTAGCGACCGCGTTTGGGTTCGTTAAGTGGCAGCTGTTGTTAATCCCGCGCCTCGCTCGCGCGCGCACGCGAGGCAGGCCGCCTCTTTCGGAAGCGGACGAACGAACGAGCGAGTCCACGAATAGACGTGTAGTCTCGGGCTTTACAGCGAATTACGGCGTGTAATTTGTTGTATTTTCGGAGGAATTTACCCCGCCGTGCCGCCACCGCTCGAGCGCGAGCACCGCAATGCGGCCGTTTTTCATTACGCGTACCGCCGGCGTGACGAATGATTTTTCGGAGCGATAAATCGTCAGCAATAAATCTGCGCCGACGTGCTTCAGATTTATTTTCTGTAAGTAGTTGACGTCTAGCACGATTGATCGTCGGCGGTAGGAATTGTTGGGAAACATACGCGCGCACGCGTGCGCGCGGACGGCGCTATGGATCGTCGATTGATCGATGCCTCGTGAGTTAAGATAAGAACAAGAAATATATCGGAAATTGCCGCGTGGGACTCCGCCGGCGTCGCCCATTAATCGTTTGCAGTCGCGCTCTGACGCGTAGTCTGCATGCTCCCTCCGCCGAATCGTATTGCTTGCAAGAAAAACGGATACATCCGCTACGGGTCGAAGACAACGAGTCGAATCTTTCCTCATGATTATACACTAGATGTGAAAACAGTTTGGACATTTAGATGCAAATTGGAGGCAGCAGATGTCCAGTGAGAGAATTTAATTTCTGAAAACTTTTCAAAAACCAATTCTCTCACTGGTCCATTGACATGAAACAAAATCCAAATCGTTTTGAAATCTAATGTGATACCTTTCGCAAGAGCGAAAGTAAGTAAACGATTTAAAATTTGACAAGCAGAAGTGATAAGTAAAAGTGACAAGCAAAGGTATAAATCACGAACTATGTGCAAAAGGATCACGATAGATCCTTTTGCACATAGTTTCTGGAAGAGCGCGCGCACAATTGAATATTGTATATACCGGCGAGATATCAAGGATGCACAGCGCACCGATAGATAAATCTTCACCCACGGACGTACACATTTTTTTCAGACTAGTGTGAAAATAATTCGCGGGAAAAAATGCGGCCTCACCAAAGTCTAATCTCGGACAATGGCGGGCCGCGGGATAACTCGTCGCTGGTAGCTGGAATCGACACGGATCGAATTGATGAGTCCGGGAGCGGCGCGGCGCAGCGCGGCGGACGTTCCGCAATCAATTCCGCGTATTAACGGCCACCGATCAATATTCATGAAGCGAGTGAGCAGTGTACGCCCCGTCAAAGACAGAGTTCAATTTCGCGGGGGGTGATATATATATATATATATATATGTGTGTGTGTGTGTGTGTGTGTGTGTGTGTGTGTGTGCGTGCGTGTGTGTATATATATATGCATATATATATATGTATATATATATATATATATATATATCACCTCCCGCGGCGTGGGTGCGTAAGTGCGCGCGTTACACACATCGAAGTACGAGATAGGAAATTGAGGCCCGCGATGACGAGCGACGGCGAGCGGGCGCGTGAGCCCACCCGGGCCATTAAGGCTTGATGAAGATGACGATGATGACGTATGTATCCGGCCTGATATATTGTTTGCGTGGCGGTGCCGAGCCAAGGGTGGCAGCGGGATACAGGTGCGGGAGATGTATGCGCGGCACCCCCTCGGCGGTATTAGTATGCTAATTATAAACGTGCCCCGAAACTCGCGAAGGTCGGTCGGTCGGTTGGTCGGTCGGTCGGTCAGCCAGCCGAACGGTGCTAAGGGAACGACGTTCTGACGCGTGTTTCGCGAGGACGGGTCGCGAAATCCACTTGCACGCGTAACTCGCGGAAACTTTAAGTAATATAACTTCTCCACGGGGGTGTGCGCGCCCGCGTCCTGGAGGAAAAAAATGACGCGGACTTTAAGGAATTCTCGCGCTTAGTAAGTTAGGAAGTGGGGTCTGTAGCTCGCGGTGCGGTAAGTTCGCGCCTTGAAGAACGGCTTATCTTCCTGCGAATGGATATGGAGCGGGATATGAGAAAGGGAGTGAGAGAGAGAGAGAGAGAGAGAAGGAGAGAGAAAGAGAGGAACGGGGTGAGTGAGTGCACCCTCCTGCTGCGGAGGGCGCACACGTGCGACGCTTTCCGGAGTAATAATAGATCGACGCGCGACGATGATAAATCCACGACAGCGACGTGCTATTGTGTCGTCAACGATATTATGTCTTTTGGTCGTTTCTCCTCTCGGTCGAAAGATCGATGCTGCAACGCGACGGGGCAGCTACGGATGTATTGAAGAGGACAGGATTTTATTATACGCTCCTGGAAATTCCTCGAGAGCAGCCTGTGCGCATTACGAGCGACTGAGAGATCTCAGTAATTGTAAAGACGACCTCGAGATCGTACGAGGGACGAGAAGGAGGGCGAGCCGGGGAGAGACCTGACAAGTTTACGCCCTTCTGTCTGTATGTTGCAAGTGAAATTTTCCGTATCTCCGGCGTATACGAGTGAGAATAAATTTGCCAAGCCGCCGGCTCTGTTTCGTAACTGATGACTCGCCGTCGAGCAATTTTGGAATCCGCATCATCGAGGCAACGCAATCATTCTTCGCGAGCATCCAGAAACGATGCCAAGGTGCCTTAGAGCCGGACCGTGCTACAGGATGTTGAATCGCACACGCCAGAGATTCCATTACGATATAATCCAATGGGCGCCTCAATTAGCCCTGCTCAGTGATTAGCGTGCATCTCTGCCCCCTCTCAGCCCCGCTGCTACCTCCACCTCCCATTCACCATTGTAGTCTGTCTACACCGCCCTCTTCGTGCGCTGCGCGTCAATTTGCCGTGATTTGAGCTTCTAATCCGGGATCTCTCGTCACGAGTCCTTCGTGGTCGGGTCGAATGAAGATTCTGGTTATATTATAGTCTCCCGGATGAATCCGCGAACCGCGAGTCTTGGCCAATGAGACCTCCCTCCGTCACCATGCCCGACCGCGGTAACTTAACGAGACGTTCGGTACACCGAACGCTCAACCGACGAGACGCGCCGTGGAAAATTTGCATCTCGATGTCGCTGCTAGGCGACTCTGTTCCACTCGATTTAACGACGCGTCTTTTTCGAACGTGTGTTGCAGGACGCGGACAACAAGAAGAGCGAGAAGAAGGAGGTCGTCGGGCCGCCCCTGCAGACGGCGTCGGTCAGCGTGAGGGCGCTCATCGAAGAGAAGATCATACAGAAGAGAACGACAGGTAAGTCTTGGACTTTCTCATGCAGGAAGGGAGCTGAGCGGGTGAGCTTCGACATTTCTCGTAGAAATAAAGAGCCGAGCCACATGTCGGTAGCAACGCATCCGTACGCAATAAGACCACGAGACAGGTTAAAAGGAGAGATTGGGGGAGAAAGATGCGGAGCGCGACAATGTCATTGTTTCGCACGGGATCCCGAAAAGGGACGCGCTCCTATCATAACCACGGGGAAAAAAGAATTAATACACTGTTCCGGCGGGCGATGCTGAGAACACCGAATCCGCGAATGCGATTCCGGTGATTTACGGCCGCGCATCCCGATGCAACTGTATCTCTCCCGTTGTGTGTCCTCCCGTTCATCTCTCCTCTTTCTCGCGCGCGCGCGTACGGCCCTCTCCCTCGCGCATATGTGCATTTGCCAGGACGGGCAGGACCGCCGTGATATTTCGCTGGGGCCTCTCCTCTATGGGGCTATAGTGTATGGACTGCCGAAGAACCGTGATTTACGAAGCGAACACGCCAGAATATTTCTCGCATTGTCCACGTTGGCGCGATAAATCAAGCCGCGGCAGTAGCAGAACCCGGCGGCTCCAGGCCCGTGCTTTTGTAACAAAGTGCGCGTCGTTAGCGATTTATGCGCGATTTCGCCTCGGCATCTGCCAAGAACGCCGGGGGACGATCCGCTTACGATCCCGGCGCCTTTTTGCGCCACTCCTTTCGACCAGCCGTAAAACCGAAATAAACGCAAAATATCCGCCGGAGCACGCGCCCTGTCCCCGCGAGTGTGCGTGAATGATCGCTGGCAGTTAACCTCCTGGCGACCTGAAATCACCTCGACGAGAGCTGGTCGCTCATATTGAAAGAGTCCCGTTTTCCGTTTCGACGTTATCGGTTCGGGCTTGAATGTGCGGCGATCGATTGTTGCTGTTTTCATTTCCTTCGAGAGACACATCTCGCAAATGAGATGGGACGGATCTACATTCGATCCGTCCGTCCATCGAGAAAGAATTACGAAGATACAATTCTCGTGACTCGTTTCACTTTCGACTGTGTGATATAGTATTCTCTTTCTCTTTGCGAGGAGGAGATAATGCGCTCGTCGCTCGCGTTTCGTTTTTAACGCGTTTCATTTCGAGCCGAGATGTCATGCGCGCGGCAGCGAGAGAGCCGGCGAAAGCGGCGACAACGCGACGTTCGTAATATCAGACACTCTACTCGCAGGTAACATACACTTTCCGATGAAATTGATTTGGGAAACGGCGAGATTAACGCGCGGCGCGGCATTCCTCGTGATGAATGTCGATTTCGCCTTTTAACGAGACTATCCTCTTTCAACCGCGGCGGCGGCGGCGGTGGTAGCCGGTGAAACGAGCGATGAGCATAGAATTTGTTACGTTTGACTAACTGGAAATTCGATTGTTTGTTTGCGCGAACGCGAGCAAGCGATACGGAAAACGGCGCTCTACTTCAAGTAGTACAAATCAATGTTGGACGCGGCGCGGCGCGCGGCGCGCGGCCGCGGCGATATCCACTGTAGCGCGGGAGCACCTTCGCGAATTTCGCCGCTCTGCCGTGTGATGGGCTCGCAGATTCTATGAATATTCGCCAACGAACGGTTATTAATCAACATACAATAGGAACCGATGTCTAACGCCCATCGTCCCCGATCGGCGCGATCGGGAATTGTTGACAGTCATTTAGCCGGGCTATTGTCGTCGGCCATTATTTTTTTGAAAAGCCTCGCTAGTGGCCGCACAACAAGATCGATCGATAAATAATTTGCTGGCGAACGCGCTAGTTTGGCGCGATGCGCCGCTGACAATGCATGGGGAATGCGCGTTGCCGCGTTGCACCGTTATTTGGTTGTCAGTGCAACGGCACTGGACGCGCATTTTTTGACAAAGAGCGGCGAGAGGGTGAGCAGGACATATAGAAAGCCCCCCCTCCCACACACACACACACGCGCGCATACACACACGCACATGTACGCACACGTCGGTGGAAGTGCGCGCAGTCATGCCGATCGTCCAGCGAAATATCGCCTCGCGAGCACCGAAGAACGTGGGGGTGCCTGATAGCGATCGGCCGATAAATCAAACGAAGAATTAAACCCACGACGTGGCCGCGCATGTCGAGACGGTCGTCGCCTGACAACTGCGGCCCGATTTCATTCGCGGCAGATGCGTATCTCTCGCTGCTGTCCGGCGATAAGAACGTTATCGGTATCGCCATGCTTCACATGTGTCTTAATTACGTAAGCTCGACATCGTGACCAATTCATCGGCCGTTTGTCGTTTTTCAGCTGATATCTGATGCAACGGATTAATTCTTGTCTCGAGTTTGGTTGCGTGAAAATATTGTAATGCAATGGTAGAAAATTAGAGATAGAAAATTAGAGGAAATATATTTCACCACGGGAGGATTTTTTCGTGAGAAAAGGAGAGAGAAAGAGAGACACAGAGAGGAGGGGAGAAAGAGAGTTGACTCGTAACTTGACAGAGGATTCACAACGTCGGTGTCGAGGAGAAGCGCGTGATTTTTAATATACGTGTACGTGCGCTGGCACACATACGAGATACACACATACGTCCACGTGGAACTACACCACGTGTAAGCACGCGGACTATCAACGCAAATGAAGCTTTGCTTTGTTCTCCCGTGGCTTTTTCGCCGCTTGCAGCATCGACCGCAACGATTTCCATTGGAAGTGCAGATAGGACAGGCCGGAGACAGACCGCGCGCGTCTGCCTCGTTGGAAGCAATTTGCCCCGCCGCGATCGATGATTGGCAATTTGTAAAAATATCACGCGATCTCGCCAGTGTGTGCCGATACGCTGTCGCACGTGCACCAACGGTCGCGGCACATTTGCGGTTTTATGTAAATGCATAAGTCTCTGCGGCGCGCAGCGCCGTGTCCTTCGCGCCGGCGATTGATCGATCGAGCTGTCGCGGACTTCCGAGCCGCCGCGTTAATACGCTTTCGACAAACTACGGAGTGAATACGTGCGCGTGTGTATGTGTGTGTGTGTGTGTATGTATGTATGTATGTGCGTGCGCGTACTCGCCGCTCTCCTGACGAGGCCGCGAGTGTGAGGGGAAAGAAGGGGAGAGGAGAGACCACCCACGATCCTTTGACGGTTCGAATTCTGTGAGATTCGTGTTACAGGAACGACTCGCGCCGGGATAGAATTAGGAGTAATCTCATAAATTCGCCGGAGGCGCGTCGGAAACACGACATCCGGATGTCACGTCGTGAGCTCGTGGCTAAGCTCTGCTGGTGGCTCGCAAGAAATCGCGCACAAGGGCCGCTAATTATACGCTACGCGCGATAAAAATGTATGGAGTGCACAGTGGACTGCGATGGGCAGTATAATGAGCAGAAAGGAGGAGAAAAACGAAGAAAAAAAGAGAAGGGCAATATGAAGGGGAGAGCGCGCGCGCGCGCGCGCCGCTGTCTCTAATGCGAACCCGCGCCGACTCGAAGCCAGAGCCGTGCGAAGGCCAGATATTCATGAAATCATCGTGGAAAAGTTTCGTCGCGATACAGCTGTACACTCGACGAATCCCATTTCCTTCTTTCGCTTCACCCCCTCCCCACCCCGGCCTCCTTCGTCCTCCGCCGCGGCGCCCAGGATATGCACGCATTTATTTCCGTCGAGTTGTGCACGGCCACCATGAACGATTGTGCGCGCCGTGGAATATATTTTTCAGTATGCCGCGATTTCAGCGCGGCGGTGGAATATTTATTATGACGCAGCGCGCTGGGGCAGCGGAACGGCGCCAAGTGCCGAGTGAAAAGTTGCGTGTGTGGATTTCGTTATCTCCCCCCTCCCGTCTAAATAAGCGGCAAGACGTTCCCCATTTATCCTACGCGGCGGGATCCTTGCATGCATTCCGAAGAAAATGGCGCGCTTTGAAGTAATGCACATCCGTTTCCACCACGTTCGCTACGAGAATCGCGGAAAGTCGTCGTGAATTATCGAGAGCAAACCTTAGTTCCGGGATCCGAGAGGGTTGTCGGTGGAAAGAGTTACGATTGGCGGCTCTCTCTCTCTCTCTCTCTCTCTCTCTCTCTCTCTCTCTCTCTCTCTCTCTCTCTCTCTCTCTCTCTCTCTCTCTCTCTGTAACACTTCTGATTAACTTACGAATACGAATTCATCTTCGTTCCTCTTTCCTCTCGCGCGATCGATAGTCATTGTCGAGAAGCTCGCTAATATTCCCCTCTTTTTTTACTCATTTATGTCGCGCACGCCCGCGATGTCGAGCGTGTATGTTTCGTGTTTGCACGCTTATAATACTCTGTCATCCGCGCACTTTCGTAAAAATTGAGTCAGCCCGCCGGACTACGGAATACATTATAACCGGAACGGCATGAGCGCTTTTTGAAATTTAAATGTGGTTATTCCAGCAAACTCGCCGTTCTCAGGATGTGCCGTGACGTACCAGCGCGCACGCGCTTTTTTGAAATTTAAATATTGTTATTTTTAGAGATACAACGTACCGAAAAATTTTTATTGCGCGGTCGGAGAGAAAGAAAGGGAGGAATAGAGGGAGAAAGAGAGGGTGAGAAAGAGAGGGGGGAGGGCGGCACGTATACACGACGGCACGACGTATGTTGTTGCTTCAGCCAATCCTCCGCGCTTTATATATTTCTTTTTCCTCTCTTCAATTATATATACGTAAAGCCAAACGGAAAACAAAAACCGTCAACGTGCGCCGCAGCGGGTGGCGCGCCGCGGCTGAAAGAGAGCAGCTATTCGCGACCGCCATTGTCAAGTGAAGGGCGAATCGAGGGAAAAAAAAGAAAACGACAAAAGATCCTTTTATTCCGAACGCTGCATATATATACACACACACACACATACATGCGCGCATATATATATATATACATATATATATATGTATGTATGTGCATATTCCCGTTCACGCATACAGGAGTGTGCTCATTTCTCTCTTTCTCGCTTCCTATCCCCGCTTCCCCCCCCCTCTCTTTCTCTCTTTCTCTTTCTTCCTCTATTTCTACTCTTTTCCGTTTTTCCGCTTTCCGTTTCATGATCTTCCGCGCGAGCCTACCGTCTCTGTTTATTCCGCTCAGAAACGCGAAGCGTCGCATGCGCTCTCTTTCTCTCTCTCTCTCTCTCTCTCTCTCTCTCTCTCTCTCTCTCTCTCTCTCTCTCTCTCTCTCTCTCTCTCTCTCTCTCTCTCTCTCTCTTTCTCTCTCTATAGGTAGCTGTTAGTAAAGGAAAAATATCTTGCCGACCAATCTATCTTCCCCGGTCGCAAACATGGGGTCTTCAGAGAGGCTCCTCTCCGTGCTCCGTGTTTATTCTCGACCTGAAATGTGAGAGCAAACTAGAGACATCGTGTATTTGCCGCCGGTTACTCTATAAAGAGAGAGAGAGAGAGAGAGAGAGAGAGAAACGCTCTCTTCCTCCTGCTTCTCAAATATGTGATAATAGATCAAACGTGATCGCGGCAAAAATACGTGGCTCTTTCTCTCTCCGTCAAGCACCAAGACACGTAAATTACCTCGGCTGTTTATTCGGCACATAATAATCGTTAGACACACATCGCACGTCGCTCATATTGATCGTACGACCTGTCACACGTTGCGAAATCCTTCGGAATAAGATTAGCGTCGTCGGCGTGCGAGATCGCTCACCAGGAAATACGCACGGTTTTTAGCAGCGGACACGAGTGGCAATCAGCAGTCGCGTACGAACACCACCGTTTTCACTACGCAAGTCGACGCCATCTCGCAGATCGGAGGCAAGACGAGCTTCGCGGTGCCAGCACCGCCGCCCTTGGCTGCGGCCGAGAAGGTACGCCGGCTGTCCGATGGTGAGCATTTCCGGCAGCCCAATGTCACCGTGGGTGGTCACGCGACCGTGCAGAAACAAATGCAAGAAGCGCAAAATCAGGCTCAAGCACAGGCGCTCGCCGACCTGATCCTCAAGGTACGATCCTTTACGTGCCCGTACAAATTACGCGCCCGAGAGTGTTACGCAGCAAGCGTCTAGTTACACACACGCACATTTTGCAAACGTACGTACGTAACACGCGAATCAATCGTAGGGAGCGAAGGTGGCTGTGAAGAGGACAACTTCCGATCCGGGACAGAGATTACACCTAACGTACCAGCCACCCGTACAATCAGTGACAACCAATCAGCAAACGAATAATCAGCCGCAGGCGCAGCCCACGGTCACAGAAAGCTTCACGATGACGGGGTACGCCGAAGACGGCGGTTACTTCAGTCCGAGCTTGCAGGACGAGGTGTTCCATCAGGTCACCACGGTTCCCGACAGCGTGTTGCTACATGCCACGCAGTTGGACACGATCCAGGTAAACATCCTGATCAGAGTTGATCGTGTCGCTAAGGCTCGAATGTTACCGAAGAGCCTACACGAGTTCGATCTTCACGATCACGTAGAGAAGAATTTGCTCACTTTTTTAATTATTTTCACACCGATCGAGATCAACGCGGATGAATAGACGAGCATTTTGACCCATCGCGTTGCGAAAACGCCGCGTATACGAGTCTCCGTAATGTGTAGTTTCAGGCGGCCGGCCTATTGCAAGAACAATCCACCGAGCAGCTGCAGGACATCACGCTGGAAGACCGGTACTCGTCGCAACACACGGTTAATCCGGACCTCCAAGCGCTGGTGAACTCCCCGTTGCCCGACTCCTTGGCCGAGTTCAGTACTTACGCCGCGCAATACACAGAAAGTCCCCATACCTTGCCGACCCAGTCGCCGCTGCCGTCGCCGTTGACGCGACACGACAGTCCGAGCTTCACATACCCCACCCCACCGGCTAGTCAAGAGGGCCTCCTCACCGGGAGCATACCGCTGCTGAGTCCGCAGGAGGACCCGGAGGGCGTGAGGCAGGTGTCGTCGCCGCTCTCGGCGGCGTTCTATACCAGCACGATGTCGTCCGCCGCGGCCGTGGAGGAGGCACTGAACGAGGTACTGCCAGGCGAATCCGAGGCGGACGCGGATCTTTACGGATCCGGCTCGCCGAATCCGCACTCGCCACTGCCAAGCCCGTTGTCGGCGACACCGGCGCCGTCGCCATTGTCCTCGCTACCGCCGTCCTCGATACAGTCGCCGAGACCGGTCGCCTTCACCAGCGCCACGGGTTTCCCGGTGTCGCCGCATCACGCGCTCCAGAGCCAGATGATGCCGAACTCGGAGGATCCGCTGCTCTCTTCCACCCCGAAGGACTTCACCACCGCCGGTCGCAGGCGATTCGAGTTCCAGTCGTACAAACTGATCACGAGCCAAAACCTGGTAGACTTCGGCCTAGGCAACGGCAACCTCGCCGGCATCGTCGTCGATAACAACGGCGAGTTCAAATTGATACAGACGTCGGGCCTGCAGAAGACGAACGTGCTGGTGCAAGCGGGCTCCCTCAGTCCAGCGGTGGCCTTTAAGAAGGAGGTTCGCTTGGCGACGCCGAAAATCGAGCCGGCGAACCTCGGTCTGAACGTCCAAACCAATCAGCAGTACAACAACACGGCTCAGTTCAATCAGCAGCAGATCATCAACCCGGCCAAGTTTCTCGTCCAAACTAACGAAGTGTCGAAGAACAATATCCTGAGACACAAGCCGACCGTCGGAAACTTGCCGATACCCATCGACCAGATTAAGGAGGAACTGTTGGACGAGGATGTGTTCCTCAGTCCCGGCAGTCTGCCCGCCAGCAGCCCCGTTCGACATTGTCGAAAGAGGCCGCGTATGGACGGTGGTCTGTATGCGAACAGTTCCAACGCTTATCCATCGAGGCTGCGGAAGGCTTGCGACCGCCACTGGGACAGCAGTTACACGCCACCGCCGATCTTAGACCCGTCCCGCCCTGGACCAGGGTTGTACGCAAGACTGCACCAGTACGAACGGGACTCGGACTTCAGCTCGGATGACTCTCAGGGCAACGACGGCCCACCGCCGAGGATCAACATCGGCACGAGGTATCAGGCCACGATACCACCGTTCGGCTGTGACGGGGACAGAAGAAAAAACGGGCCAGAGGCCGATCACCTGCTGTGGGACCCCGGCATCAACAACGTGCTCACAAGCACCGAACGTAAGTTTATTGTCTCGAAAATATTACGTTACTCGAAACGTAAAAAATATTTGAACAGCCTCAGTTAACAGCATGAAGTTATAGCTTTCCAGAGCGTATGATATATTTCTTACGGGGAGCTCTAAAATGTATGACAGCTTCATGTGTCACACAAGACTATTATGCCCGTCTGTGTACAGCCAGGTGATTGAAAGTCGCGACGTGAGTTCATTGAAGATCTCTTCAATGAACTCAGTTCAGCGTATCCTGCGTTTAAGAGCAAAATGTCTCCTGAAATGAAAATGAATTAAAATTAGTCGACTGAAATGGATTATTTAAAATTACATAAATTAAAAACAACTTGATTAACTTAAGATCAACGAAAATTAACTAAAAAAATCTTTCCGCTGTACCTCCTGAGGAGAAAATGTATCTCGTGAAAATGAACTAAAATTAATTAAATGAAATTAATTATTTAAAATTACATAAATTAAATACAATACAATACAACTTGATTAACTTAAGATCAACTAAAATTAACTAAAAAATTCTTTCGCTGGATACGTTATGAAATTTGTCGACGAAAAATTATATAACTTCCAGTCGTCTGACTGTACGAGTTAATGCGCGACGGAGAAAAATGAATGCCGTTACTTTGCAGTGGAGATGTACCTGCAGTTCGCGTGTTGCGCCGCGGTGCCGGGCGGCGGTAGAAACAAGGAGTACGCACTTCACCTGCTGCACATGTGCAAGGGGAACATTCACGTAAGTCGTCGATGCAACTTTGATCCCATCGATTCGCCACAGGCAGTTTTCCACGAACAAAACTGTTCGAGCGAGTGAACGTAATAACGACGCTTGTTCTCGATAATCGTTTTCAGGAAGCAATGGTGAAGTTAATGCGACCAACGCCGACGCTGCCGGTGGAGCATCCGCTGCTCAGCTACGAGTGCCACGAGTCCGACCGATGGACCGCGTACGAGATGGACGCGTTCTATCAAGGGCTACTCAAGTACAACAAGGACTTCTGCGCGATCTCGCGGGATGTCGGTGCCAAGAGCGCGAAACAGTGCGTGCAGTTCTACTACCTCTGGAAGAGGCTCTGTCCCGACGAGTATAAGATGCTACGTCTTCGTCATGGAAAACCAAAAATCAAAAGCGAGATGAAAGATTCCAAGGACACCAAGGAACTTCGTGACGCCATCGCGTCCGTTACGGAGATGGACTTCAATGAAGATAAGTCGATCCTCCATCGTACTCTGGTGAGTCTAAGTGTCGCCTTACATGCTATCATTTTCAGGCTTTAATTCATTTCACGTACCTACGTGTTTTATATACGTACAATGCAAATGCGTAAATGCGACTATAAAAACATGTTCTTTTACCTTCTTATTCTGTATTTAGCTGCAAGCAAGCGAGAGAGAGAATTCGGCGACTCTGACCACCAGCGAAGGGGAAATGAGGTTATTTGCGTATGACTGCCCAGATGTGAGTAACGATATTTTTTAAACATTAATTGCCGATTGTATTGTGTCGTGTTCTTACAATCAATTACAATCAATTACACGGCTTTTATATATACATATATACATATACATATATATATATATATGTGTGTGTGTGTGTGTGTGTATGTATGTATATATGTGTGTGTATATATATATATATATACACATATATATATATGTATGTATATGTATATGTATGTATACTAACACTGCTAATAATAACTGTTGAGAGTCTTGGAAGATTAATTTTAAAGTAATCTTGGAATCTCTTTTCTTCTCAATTTTGCCAGTACGTCTCTCTCCCTGCTATTGTTCGCAACAGTATACCATAGCATATTCGGAATAACTTGTTACAAAAAAAAATTACAATCGCATACGTTATTTCTGTCTGCTGCTCACTATATACTCTACTTTTTCCGCATACGCTAAGTACGAGAGTCTTATGCGTGCATAAAATCTCACCAAATTTTTTGTCCAATTCTATCCTTCTATTCTAAGAAGAAGAAATACTCACTGAATATACAACGTTTAAATCTCAAATTGACGGGATCTCGTACTCAGTGTATCTGAAATCATCTTACATGCGTACATACGTGTGAACATTTAAGTGTCGCATGAAACTGATTGTTGATCCGTCGTTTTCTCACGCTTCATTTTAAGAGGACCGAAGATGTGCGTTGTGTGAACGTTGCGTTACTTATCTGTCGTCGTCGTCGTCGCCGTTGTTGTTTGTTTGTGTTGTTTATTTTGGCTTTGTGTTTTCTTTGTGTTGTCAGAGCTTTAGCGGAAGTGTAACAGTAACGATGGCCGGGAGCACCCAAACCGCCCAAATCGGCAATACCGGCCACGCCACAGTCAACACCAACTCACAAACTCACACTAGTTCTGAGCAACAACTACCCGCGCCCACCCCACTTCACTACCCCTGCAAGATTTGCGGGAAGTAAGTCTCCAATCTCTAATCTAAATTATCCATTTTCCAATAATTGATGGCGGAGCGTGCGACGCGCGTATCCTTAACGACAATGTAAGCTGGCAAGTATCGGCACATCTCACATAGATATTACCTTCGCTTGTTAGAAAAGAGAGAGAGAGAGAGAAAGAGAGAGAGAGAGAGAGAGAGAGAAAGAGAGAGAGAGAGAGAGAGAGAGAAAAAGAGAAAAAGCGTGCCTTTCTGCATACGACCTGACCGGAGCCAAGTAACGAAACGATATGCCGGCTACATAACTATAAAGTTTTGTACTTGTAGTCGTAACAATAGAGAGATATGTTAAATACTTTATTTAACGATGACATGTAGAGTATCGCGAAGTCGCGCCGGAGAAAAAATTTAAGCGGGTCAGCGCAACAGCAAAAAAGTACATGCTTTGAAAAAAAAGAAAGAGAGAGAGAGAAAGAAAGAAAGAAAGAAAGAAAGAAACATTTCGCACTTTGGATCAACATATACAAAAACACGAGTATCGTGAAAAAAAACTAAGTTTTGGGATAATCTGAGAAACAAACATATGCGCGTGTTATAACGATCTATATTAGAAAATTGATACTTTTTTTAATTTATGGAATACGTCTCAACACACTTTTCGAGACCGCACATGTGTTATTCACGACACATACATTTTTATACCAGGAAACTTGTTATTATAAAAAATTATTGCAATATATTCGATGATACAACATTTAACGAACCGAAATGAGCGAATACGACAATATTTCTTGCATAAGAAGTTAATTTTATTTATCATTTATCGCCGAATTCGATCGAAACATAAAATACTCTTCGTATATCTTTTTAATAACGGCAAAAGTTTTCACATCAATTATTTGATATACTATACGCCTGGCATTTTTTCTATACTCTATTATTATCTTGATTTGCTGCCTAGGTTCTTCTCTCTAATTATATTTCTCTATGTTTCACTTTCCGATGAAGATATTTGTACATATAAATTGGCTATGGTATGTCGTTATGAGTATTAAATTTAAACGCATAACGCAAGCATGATTTGTTAGACCGCTGTTGCTGTGTCGATATCTCTACGACTCACTTGTATGTGAAATATACACACATGTGAACTAAACCACACTGTGCATTTGAAACGAAGGCGCAGACCAACCGCTTGCAGAACGAAATGTTTTTTTTTTTTTAATTGTGTGAAAACTCAAAGTGTGATCGTTTCCATCTCCGTGCGTTTACATTAATTTCCACGAATCGTCCAGCTAAATTTCTCACATGTTCTAATCTTACAACTCGACATGTCATATTCACATATCGTAAACGTCAAATCTCGCGTGCTCGCATCTCGCCCGAGACCCAAAGCCGATAGATGATAGCCTACTTGACGTGCCGGTTGCACTTTTCTTCCAGAGTTTTCAACAAAGTGAAAAGCAGAAGCGCGCACATGAAATCACACAGGCCAGTACCCTTGCCCGATTCAACGGGTCAGGAATCTAAACGACCCGCGGCGCAGCAACCGTCGAAAGTGCTGCAGCCGCATCAACCACCACCACCACCACTACCGCAACAGCAGCAGCAACAACAACAACAACAACAACAACAGCAACAACAGCAGCAGCAGCAGCAGCAACAGCAGGCGGACAATACCACGGCGCAAGCCATCAAGCAACAAGACCATCAGCAACAACTGCCCGCGAGTGTCAGCGACAACAAGATCCAAAACTCAGCACATGTGTGGCACAATCCAACGAGGCTGAGGCCCCCATAGGACGAGATCCAAGTAGCTATACTTAAGTTACCTTAACGAAGGCTGTAATGGTACGATAGGGAAGAATAGGTAGGTTACGGTTGCTCGAGGCATAGGCAGGTTCTTATACGATGACACGCGACCATCCGCGAAGTCGTTGCGAGTAACGCGCTGCGAGAATATATCTTTTTACGTGAACGAGACCTCCGCTCACACGACGGGGCGGGTTGCGTGGGTAAACTTCCAAAATAGATAGTTCCGAAAACGCGAATACCTCCTCTATATGTGCGAACTTGGGCGAGAGAGCGTAACTGGCAAGTTTGCCCGGCCAGACGGACTAATTAAACTTACGAGGTTACTCATATGGAATATGCAATCATAGTTGAGCAGTTTCACGAAGAGGAAAACGTCGACCGCTTGATGGAAGCTGGAAAGCACAAAGAATCGGGTAGAACTCGTAGAGTTTAATGGCGTAATGATAGAGAGGAGAGAGAGAGGGAGGAGAGGGGAGAGAGAGAGAGAGAGAGAGAGAGAGAGAGAGAGAGAGAGAGAGAGAGAGAGAGAGAGAGAGAGGGTCTTTAACTAGTAATTCTGCAATCGTAATTCGAACTCTGTTCAATCAGGAGACAGGGTACCGATAATCACACGCGCGTCTTTCGTAATACGGAAGGCGAGACGCCGGTGCGGTGTCTACAAAAAAGGAGAAACCGTCACTGTCGAAGAGATCAAGCGAACGTACACGGACTTTGCGTTTTGTTGCGGACAAAAGAGTATATAAACGCGATCGATGGGAAATGGCCTAGCAAAAAGGAAATTAGACGCGTCTCAATAAGTACATGCGCAGAAGCGTACATTTTCGCCACGATGAGTGCTAACTTCACAAAAACCGATGGACATTGGCGTGCACTTACAACAAGCGACGTAACGATAAAGCGCGATTTTGGTGTACCTATTTATTATGCACGTAAAATGTTCCCAAATTGTGCCACAAGACATTACTGTTACCTGTTGCCCTTTCGCAATTTTCTCTTTTTTTTTTTCTTTTTTGTAATGTGTTAAGTTGTTTTTCTCTTCAGATTCGTTACAGCCGGGATCGACTTACGCATAGTCGTATATTCGGAATTTTCTTGCCGACGTGGAGGAGGTATGTGCTTTAGTTTACAAAATCCATGTTAGTTTCATTACAATGTTCCATGTTCCATTACAATTACGTTCTATTGTAACCAAAGCGTGACATAATGTATTTTATTTTAACGAGGAACTATCTGTGTGCACTTTCGAAAATTGCTTTCGAAATTAATAAATTTGAATTTGCCTGAATTCCGATTAAACGACCGAACGAGAGACACAACTCGCGAAGAAATCCCGGCATGTGACGTACGACACTTGTTGCACGTTCGCTCTAGTTACATTTAGTTTAATATAATTAGAGTATCTAAAATCTTCGATGAATAAGTGAATCTTACCGTACGTATGTAGATTTGTTGAAACTCCTTAATTTCTTTACCTCTGTTACTTAGTAGTTTAATAGTACACAATTGAAATAAATTTTAATATATACGATATATGAATATATAAATATATACATAAATATAAATATGTATAAATGAATCGATGTAATTGAGAGAAACTCGTAGCATAGGCAAATAATTCTCTAGAAAGAATGTTGTTCAAGTTTTACTTCAGACATCATCAGTATCGTCCAGATATATATGTATGTATATCGTCGACACATCGGTATATTCAGTATATATATACATATATATATCTATATATATGTACATATATATATACATATATGTACTGAATATGTAAGATAATGATTACATACATACACCCCATACATACATTATTATATTATACATACGCACACCCAAACACAGACACAGAATAGAGAACATTTATTAATTAATTAATATTTAACTTTCAATGATCATTGAATAGCTATATGTACATAAGACGTGTACATGTTTGTACATATAACGTCAGTGTCTATGTACAATTAAAGTCAACTCTATGCAAAAGCAAGTAGGTTAGATTTTAGGTTGCTAAGAGGGATATATATATATATATATGTATGTATGTATATGTATATATGTATGTATACATATATACATATATATATATAAAAGTATATATATATATATATATACTTGGCTTCATTTTCTACCTTACTAGAGACTACGTGGCGAGACTCTTGTAAAAACAATGACTGGTCGTACGTTCCCCGTAATCCGCGTAAATTTTTCTTTTCCGTTTGAAAAATCTTACAATGATGTTCCTATATGTAAGGTGCCTTATGCGATCGGAGAAAGATTTACTTTTCCTTAGTATGTCCTGCGTATGCATTGAATTGTATGTCCGACAATGCATCGGATTGACTCTGTTCCTTTATCAACGATGTTGCCTCTCTTTAATTAACATCAACTTAACAAAAAGCAGAGGAAAAACGAAAACAACGATTTTAGACGCAACATAAGTTACGTCACATATGTTTCTTTCATCTTAAAATAACAAAGTTAATTTGTCGACCGGATATTTACGGTTTATAATTTTCGCTTGTTACACTTATCCATTTTACGCTTATATCTTATCCATGTTACGCTTATCCATTTCGACATACAAATCAAATTCTAATTTTGACTTTAGTTATTCGTATGTTTATATGTATATATAGGAACATCCCTTATAAAAAAAAAACCATCTAATACGTTTAGAATGAAAGCAGCGTGTATCTTATTAAAAAAAAAAAGGAAAAGATAAACTTAAATATAAATGTACTAAATTTTATAAAGATTAAAATATATTTATATCAAGTTTCATTTATTGAAACTCTAAATTGTTATTCAAGAGAGTTGCCAATCGTAGATACTCTAATTCTACCTTGAGAATATTGTTATTGTTAACACTCTTCTTCTTATTAACTTTTACCATTAAATGAATCGCGACGTATACTTTAACTTTTTAAACTTTTCTCGAGCAAACGCAAGTGACTGAGGACGCTTAAAAAAAAAAAAAAGAAAAAAAAAGAAAAAAATCTGCCAAGTCTTAACAATTCGTGAAAATGGCTTTAAATCTTCTATTTGTTTCATTCATCAGAAGTGAAAGCTATATGATGTGAACGAAGGTCTAATTGTCAGCAACGGGGTGTGCACTCTTCCCCTTATGACATTAGACATTCAGAAATCTATACTTTAGTCTCTATTCTATCTCTATGTGTGTCTCATTAATCCTCTCCCCGATCTACAAAAATGTAATGCAAACTAAACATCAAATATTCCGGCCACACACAACATCTTCATTATTTATTTATTTACAGACGAGAGACTAATATGAGGGGGTATCGCCAAGGGCACTAATTCACTGCTCGTACGTTATTGTTCAACAGCCAGTAATGTGCTGTATTTGTTAAATTCGCCGGCCTATACAATGATTTTGTGCGATATCAAACGGACAATTCAATAATATTAAACGTCTTCGTAAACATTTATTTTCGATTCTTCCGATGCATTCGCGCGAGATCGTATATTTATAGATGTGTTTATATGTGATCCTTTTGATCTTTTGAGCCCGTGGAAATACTCCTTTGTAAGCCATATTAAAATATATGAATTCTGTAACGGCTGAGTAATGGTCTCCAGTACGTAAGCAAAAACGTGTGTAGTACTTTAGAGATCTATATACTATAAGATTCTAGAATTTCGAATCTTAAAGCGTTAGTTTATTTAAGGAATAAAATTGTTATGAATTCCGACCACAGGCTCGGTGCATAGGTCGAATACAACAAAATTAGCAGACATATCATTTAAGACAATACACTTGTTACAGAAACTAAGTTTCTACTAATATAATTATTATTGTATGTAATCTAACTCTTAATCAGAACTTAGAGCTTCAAGGGAACGTCGTAGGTAGTAATAAATGGAACGAGTAGATATTGGTGCGTATCGGCTGGTCCAATTCAGATGTTGCGACATTAATAGCAGTAACTGTAGCGTCAATTCCGTTTTCTACAGTCTCTACCACAGTCGGATTTTCCGTTACTTGTACTTCTCACATAAATTATCAATCCCGGCTTGAATCTACGCGCCAAATAGTCGCGTCGGCAATATTTTACGACGGCAGTACGATGGAAATTGGGGTTGCTTGTAATTTGACGGGCATTTCTTTCTGATTTTGCATCGATTGGCATAAAGTCGCATTCTGTATTTGGAACAGCGTCGATACAGAATACGTACGGTACTGGAGGCTATTTACTCAGAATGTGGGAAAGGCACGAAACGAAGCAATGAAACAGTAACGAAGATATGCATGAATTGTACAAACGAGTCCCTCCACGTCACAGAAAAGAATGATATATATCTATATGAAGAATATATATATAACAAAATGATAACTATGTGATGTATTTAAATGGTATGTGGTATATGGTATTACATATTTGTACATAGGCGGACCCGTGCCATCAACTAGTGAGTTGTACCGATATTGTACTGCCATAAAATCGAATAGCGATAACATCGAGTGGATGGATCCGAGAAGTAATCATCGACAAATCCGTGTATGATATGATTTTCGTTTCTGCTCCCGTACGTGTATATGATTAGACGATTAACTTAAAAGTTACCAACTAACACTTAACTTAATGGCTGTGCAAATGGAGCATTTTGCACTCATTGACAATTATTAAACAGTTGTGTTGTTGTCATACTTTACATTTTATTGTGTGAACAGTTTATTCGTATCGAAAAAAGAAAAATTACCGTTTTGTTGTTATCATGTTACTCCTTGAGTTTGAGTTGATGTCACGTCATGCTCGGACTTGCGTTGGCGTCACATCCGTTTAATTCGCTGTTAAAAAATGTATAAAATGTTTATTTCCAAGGTCCCATAACAAGCTGACAAAAGACATTAATCGTGATTAATAATTTCGTGCTTGTTTTTATCTCGTGAATGTCTCCCTTTACTAGATTACTACACTAATCTACTCTATCGAACTACTCGGTATCGGTGATTGAAAAAATGACATTGGAATCCCGCATTCGCAGTCGTAAGAGTCAGTTGCTAAATTCACGAACACATTAAATAGACGCATTGAGCGATTGATCGCCGTTAATGGGAGAAAAGCGCGTTACGATCGGGCAATATGTAGTAAGAAAGTAGCGAAACACCTTTATCTCGGCAACGACTACTTAGAAAAGCGCGTAATTATTTTCTAGACGCAAGTAGTGGCGGTGATGTTTTGATATATGTTAAATTAATTTTATTATTATCGATAATTTATTCGTTTTTTGGATAATTTAGTTACTACATAGTGACCGTTATATATTGTACGTATCCTCTCTCGTTTAAGTGAATTTTCGCACGATACTTCCTACAGACAATGTCCAATGCACGCCATGGGCTCGCACACATTGACGAAGATCTTGCGAGATAATCGTTGAATAATTTAACACCGGTGAAGTTTAATCTCAGTTGTGGAATATATTGGTACAACTCGATGAAGAAAGTGTAGCGTGGTTATACACCTGAGGAATGTGCTCAAAATATTGTATTAAAGAGAAAAAAAAAGTCTACTAAATGATCATCAACGTTTATGCAAAATTACTCTTAATAAGTGAAAAAAAAGTTATTACGGATTATATTGATATCGTAATCTATCGTCCTCTTACCTATTACCTACTTTAATGTCTATCTCTATACGCCAGCATGGTTCTTTATACTCTTCTATTTGATGTTATACTATTCTCTATTAACTTTTACTACGAAACGTATTGTTAATGGTGTTTTTAATGTACTAGAACATATGGTCAGCTGTAGGGAGAAACCACGCACATGTCACATCGAGATTTATACGAGGGCAGACATTACCAATCGGACAAGACAATGGCATGCGTTCAAGTAGCGCGATCACCCGCGACACTCGCGCAACTGCATAAATAACTCGCGATTTTGTATTTTCATAGGTCGAACACACGTTTCTCTCTGTCCAAAGACCTTTCGTCCTATTCTCCTCATCGCGCCGATGTGTTTGTTGATAGTCTCTGCGAGAAATTCTTCAAGCGGTGTCGAACACTCTCGTTCCCGTTGTCGTAACTCAACTCAATAATATAATTTTGCATTGATCGAGATCGCTGTTAGAGCTTGGTTCGTGCGCGAATCGAGGATGCAGGACGAGCGAAAGTCAGCCAAGCTCGAGAATGTGTCACGTCACGTAACGTCTACTTCCTCCCCTCGCTCGTATAAATGATCGCAATAATTCTAATGAAACGAAAGAGGAGCACGTGCTCTCGCGCGCGCGGTAGCAATGTACTCGGAGTTACGCGTTCGTACTATCGTTGTTTTCCCATCTTTCTCTGCTCAACTAGAGATACTGTATACCTATAAATATACCTATACATTAGAGTCCACGTCATCCTAGCTATTTAAACCTTAATCACTTAATCGGATTCCTGTCTTGCTCAAAGAGACGCGGGCTCGTAACCTTCTACGGAGCGAAACGCAACAATCTCGTATCTCCGGACTGTGTGTGTGTGTGTTATAAAATCGCTCAAGAGTTGGTGCCATAAGCAATATGGACAATATATTATTAAATATGTTAGATACGCGTGGACTAACTACAGCTGGCCGGCTAAGTTCTGCTTTAAAGAAGCTCGATAACGAAACGCCTTGCGGTTGTCTTCCACGAGCGATCGCGAGAGCCCTCGTAATATAATGTCGTTCGGTCGCGGTGTCGTCGGCGGTGCTTCCTCCCCCTTCGGAAAATTACGTTTGTAAAGAAAAGATTTCGAAGTCGTTTCGCGCCCACGCGCAGTGTACGGACTCGTCTTTGATGTTTGACCTTTGATCCACGCGTCACTGACCTTTGCAATCGATCGTATCGCGATTCGCGGAGATTACGTTTCATCGAGATTCCCTCCCTCATCTCTCGCGAGAGGGTCTTGCTATGCACACACGTACGTGGGATGATGATCTCGCAATTGGCTCTTGGCAGGAAACTGCAATGCGTTGTTTACATAATTAAGCACACAGTTCAGTCAATTTCAAGCGCGATGTGTGGTATCGAGTTG